CAGGCTGGCCTTGAACTCGCAGAAATCCACCTGGCTCTGCCTCCCGAGTGCTGGGATTAAAGGCGTGCACCAGCCAGAATTTCTTAAAAATACATCATGTCAATAGTAAAGGTTTAAAAAAGAATTTTCCCATAAGCTGGCAACAAGGCAAGGAAATTGTAAGGAAATGTCCTACTTGTTCTTTTCTCAATCAGACTCCATTACCAGCAGTATGGAACCCAAAGGGTACTTGGAGGAATGAAATCTGGCAGATGGATGTGTTTCCCTTTGAAGAATTTGGAAAATTGAAGTATGTACACCATACCATTGATACTTATTCAGTATTTCAATGGGCAACTGATTTGAGTTCTGAAAAAGCTGATTCTGTAATCACTCATTTGCTAGAAGTTATGGCCATCATGGAAATACCTGCACAAATTAAAACTGACAGTGCTTCAGCATATGTCTCTGGTAAAATGAAACAGTTTTTTACTTATTACAATATAAAGCATATTACAGGTATATCACATAATCCTACATGACAAGCAGTTATAGGAAGATCAAAAAGAACTCTAAAAGATGTGCTAAATAAATGAAAAGGATAGCAAAACCCCGCAGAAATAGATTACATAATGCTCTATTAACTTTGAATTTTCTCAATGCTAATGGGAAAGGAACAACAGCAAAGAGACATTGAATAATAGAAAAAAAACCTACAGAATACTTTAAGGATGTGTTGACATCAGAATGGAAACCAGGATATGTGTTATATTGGGGATGAGGTTTTGCTTTTGTTTCTACAGGAGAAGAAAAGCTGTGGATACCATCAAAATTGACAAAGGTTCCATTTAAACAAGACAGACCTCTTAATTAGAAGATGTGATAGTTCATCAACCAGCATGACCATCCAATTTAAACTATCTTACACAGTAACAAATGCTTTCCATTTAATCAGACATAACTTGCCAAAAGGGAACCTCCCCAAAGTTAGGCTTGGGAAAACACGTTTGTTTTTGTCTTTCAGGAGAATGAAAACTAAGGAATCTGAAGAACACTGGGCAAATGGGACATCTGAAGAAAAAGGACAAGTCATCTAGAAAAAGATGTCCCAAGAAAAAGAGTAAATTAGCCTATTGGTATATAAATTAGCATATTGGTTATAAAACTTCATAAGTCTTCATGAATATTTGTTTGTACTCTTCTCTAGAGATACTTAATGCAAATGGCCTTTTTGTAGTCCCAGTTCAATTAAATATTAAAGCTGGCTTTGGAATTAGAAAATGGCTCTCTCCTTCTTTATACCCAATCATGTTGTTAAAAGGAAAATGCAAAATCTCTGTACATGACAGAAGAAAGTGCCATCTTCTAATCTGTGAGAGAAGAAAGCAAAAAAATTAAGCAACAATTCTATTGCCACTATTCTCAATTCTTTGACTCTATTTTCATCCTTTAACCTTTTCTGAAGATATAAATTTTATATCAAAATTTATAAGATTAATGTGTATATTAAACTTTTGTTAATATTAATGGTCATGTAGAGTAATAGCTAATTCTACAAAAAAGGCATCATTTAGCTGTCTATACATGCTTTGTGTTTGAGTCTCTGTCAGTTTTCTGCAGGGAATCACGACCAGGTCTCCAACAAAGGGTGACTTCCAGACCAAGGCTGGAGCCAAGAGGGAGCAAGAGGCCAAGAGTGTCTTTAGGGGACCCAGAGCTAGCTGCACAGAACCAGGTACCTGTGGCAAAGCCCTGAGGAAGTACAGAGGAGCCCTGGCGGCTCCCAGCAGTCAAGGCCATCTCCAGTGAGTCAGATGCTGGGGGAAAGACTCCAGGCCACTGGATGGAGGAAGGGCCCCTCCTTGGCTGATACTTTGAAGGCCTGCCTCAACACTGACAGCTCTCCTCCTTCCTCTGCTCTGCAGCTGCAGCTGACTCAGTGCAAGAGGAGGGGAAAAAGCACTTGCTGAGGCCCTTAGTCCTTGGCAAGTCTCCAGGTTGCCAAGAACCTAATGACAATGGCGTCCTCCCTGGGAGTGCTCTTGCACAAGAGCCTTCCAGTCTCCAAGCTGGTTCCCGCTGGGTGGCCAGGAGCACTCTTCCTTGCACACTGACCAAGACTCACCACCTTGGGTGCGCAGGACCAACTTCAAAACACCAGTCTATTTGGGTCCTGCACCTGCCTGGCTCCCGCAGACCTCGCAGCAAGGGTGCCTTGCTGAGCCCCTTGACTGCCCCTGGAACACTCGCTGCCAAGACACAGCTGAAGAAACTGAGCCCTGGCAGCAAGAGGAGTCCCGTCGTCACCAGACACACTGGCTGGCCAACTCACACCCAGACTGAGAGTGCCACAATCCTCCAGCTGCAGGAGCCCCCTGAGCTGAGGCTGCAAACCCTGTTAGCCCGCCTGAAAGGCACGCAAGCCAAGAAGCCTGGAGGACGCCAAACCAAGATGGTGGCCTTCCAGGCTCAAGCCCCAAGCCCAGGCCAGCAGGCAGAGTCTGGAGCGGCAGGGGCGTCCTCCTCCGAAATGAGCAGCCTCCAGGAGGCCTCTGCCCAAGGCCCGCCACGGAGGGCTCCCTGCCTTTTGCCGCCGCCGCCGCCGCGGCCTGCCAGCAACAAGCCCCAGCCTAAGAAGAGACCTGCCCAGCTCATGGCCAAGGCCCTCAGGGATTACAAGAAGAAGCTCTCTCAGAGGTGACCTGGGGATGCTCTCTTTCCTGGAATTGCTGGCAATCACTCTGGACCAGACCTGCTCTCTCCTCTTGCCGGAAAGGGCGCCTGCCAGCCCGCCAGCCCCCCAGCCTGCAGCCGGTTTGAAGAGCCCAGGCTTTGCAGAGCCTGCTCCTGGTCCAGCTCCTGGCTGCCCTCTCTGCAGACCCTGGGCAGGCTTCCCTGCCTGCTCCCGAGACCCACCGGCTAGAGCTTTCTGCCCACGTGGAAGCGCCTAGACCACCACCGGCAAAAAGACCCACAAAAAGTGTTCCCAGAGCAAACACTCCACTTTGGACTTTTCCTCCACCCAACGCCTTCCCAAGGACTCAAGTGCCCAACACCTTGGCTTCAAAGGAAATAAATAGATAGATAGATAGATAGATAGATAGATAGATAGATAGATAGATGATGGATACATAGATAAACAAATAAACAAACAAGAAAGAAAGAAAGAAAGAAAGAAAGAAAGAAAGAAAGAAAGAAAGAAAGAAAGAGCGATCACCAAGAACCCAGACCTTTGCCTTCCTCTTCCACTGGAACTCGGTGGTTGCAGACAGACACATTCAACTTCTTGATTCACCCATGCAGTCAATTTGCAAACAGGTGTGGATTCAAGCTGATTCCAGGCCCTCCTCATCCCCAGTTGGGACTGCACGTTCCCTTCCATCAACTAATCCGTTAGAAAGATAATTGTACACATATCCCTACAGATCAATATATAGACAAATGGATACATAGACTTCTAGATTCAAAGATACATAAAGAGCTGATCCATAAATATGTCAGGAAAGTTCGGCATGCAGTCCACAAGCAAGAAAAGGTGAAATTTAAAGAAGAGAAGCTAAAACTGAGTCAAAAGAAAAGGAAAGGAAAATGAACATCAAGATCCTAAAAAGAGGGCCTTGGAGCAACAACGACGCAAGATGGCAGCCACCACAGGCTCAGGAGTAAAAATCCCTCGAAATTTCCGACTGTAGGAAGAGCTGGAAGAAGACCAGAAAGGAGTAGGCGATGGCACAGTTAGCTGGGGTCTAGAGGGCGACGAAGACATGACACTTACAAGATGGACAGGGATGATAATTGGGCTTCCAAGAACAATTCATGAGAACCGAATATACAGCCTTAAAATAGAATGGGGGCCTAAATACCCAGAAGCACCCCCATCTGTATGATTTGTAACAGAAGTCAACAGGAGCGGCGTGAACAGTTCAAATGGAGTGGTGGATCCAAGGGCCACGGCAGTACTGGCCAAGTGGCAGAATTCCCACAGCATCCAAATCATCCTGCAGGAGCTGTGGCGCTTGATGATATCAAAAGAGACCATGAAGCTACCACAGCCGCCAGAAGGACAGTGTTACAGCAATTAGTCACCAAGGCCCCGGCCTCCCCTCCCCAGTCCAACCTAAGTCTTTGTTTCCCACAGTAGTAAATTTTCTAGATTCATCTTGTAGACCTCAGAGGACTGGAGAGAGAGCTCCACTGAGACTCCATCCTGGAACACTGCTCTGATACTAATTTCTTGTCCATTTGAAATACATAGGCTGTGCTGTATAACATCTTCTGTTGAGTGTAACCGCTGGCTGCCTAGTTGAACTTCTGGGATCAAGAAGGTGTGTTAAAATCAATTTCCTTTGGGAGCGGTGGGCACAGCTAACGCAACTGTGAACCGACATGTCACACAATCACCTGCTGCTGACGCATGGCCTGGGTCTGCCTCTGCCCACCCTGCAGTCCTGTCACAGCTGTGTGGTGGCCCTTAGACTAGATGGGAAGGCTTCAGGTAGCAGCTGTGGGACTTCTGTTGGGCTTGGGGGTGCTTTGGCCACACCCCTGCTTTCTTAAGTCTTAAGTGATGCCCCATTCAAGCCATCGCCCACCCCCACTCCTCCACTCCCACCCTTGGCCAAAGCTTAGATTGTAACCCTCCCCTCCCTCAGAAATTGGCCATGGGTGAGGGATTCAGGGCTTCCCGTCTCCCCACCTTTATCAAGGGGTTCTGCTCTCCCCTCCTCCTCAACTCCCTTGTTGCCCATCACCACCCAACACTTGCTGTGGCCAGAAGCCATCAGATGAGGTTGGAAGAGCCTGGCCTCCCTCACTTAGCTCTGGACCACACGTTCACTTGCTCCCAGCCCGAGAAGGGGGTGCCGGTTCTTCAGCCCTGCTGCCATGATCAGCCAATGCACTTTGAGCTCAGGTCTCGAGGTGAACAGAGCAGTCACGGGGCCACAAACCTGCCAGTGCTCAGGGTCCTTGGTGGTGACGCCTAGAGAAAGGCCATGTGGAGAGTCCAAGCACACAGGGTTCTGAGTCAGTTCTTTCTCTCATAATCGCTTTGCTTTTACACACTGAAGAGGTTTGGACAGGGCTCCCTGGCTACCATCAGGTCTATGTGGAGCCTGACAGCTGAACAGAGCCCTGGGCCCTGCGGACTCAGGTTTCAGTGTTTCTGCTCCTCAGACACTCGCCAAGATCTGAAGGAGCTCTGTGTCACGAGGTTTTAGATCATTAGGCCTGGCCTCCTGGCTCGTCACCATGTTCCCCACTCTGTTCAGGACCACTAAATGTTGAAATGTGGATGCATGCCGAAATAAAGACAATTCATTGTGTTGCAAGGGTAAAAAAAAAAAATCCTAGGAAGAAGTATGTAGGTGAAACTATGTGTCTGTTTGGCTGTATGGGTGTGTAAAAAAGTGGATAAAAGTGGATTTTGATGACACACCCATTTAATCCCATCATGTTCTGGAGACAGAGGTGTTGCTGGAGGGCTTCTCTCCAGGTTCCCCAAGCCCCGCAGTCCCACAATCCACGTATAAAATAATCACTCAGACACTTATATCACTTATAAACTGGATGGCTGTGGAAGGCTTCTTGCTAACTGTTCTTATATCTTAAATTAACCCATTTTTATAAATCTATACCTTGCCACGTGGCTGGTGGCTTA